ACATAAAGTCATATTATAACATCGACTGAGATAAAGAATAAAATGAAATATTAAAAACATGATGTATCTCGCTGCATTGCGCGAGTACTCTTCTAGTATATATATATATATATACAACTTCAATAATTTATTGTAAAAATTCCTAATATAATATGAATATTGCATTATTGTAATATCCGATAATTAAGGGGTTATCTAAAAGAGAACTTAATAATTTGTAATTAATCGATTAATTAGCAAATTAATAATTTTAGCTATTTTATAAATCTTATCTTTCTTCTCTCATTCTTCGATCATTTTTCTCTTTCCGACGAATCTTATTCCGATAAACATCATATGAACGTTACGTACAAATTGTTATATCCTCTGTAAATCAACAAAAAAAACTGTTTCAATTTTCAAAGCCATCTCTCGCATGGACCGATGAAAGAAAATATGGACCCACGATTTTCAAAAGAAATCACATGTTTCAGTTTTTAGGACTCTAAGAGATTATTTGTTTAACTCTTAATAGTTCCATTAAGAAGCAGACTTTGAATTATTAAAAGGGTGTTTGGGATTGCTTATAAAAGCTGTTTTTTAACTTATTTCAATCTGGCACCGATGATAAGTTGTTTTCTGGTGTTTGGATAAAAAAAACTGCTTATATCGGTGCCAAACCGGTAATAAGTTGTTTTTGATAAGTTAATCCTTCATGACTTATGAAAACCTGCTTATTACTAGTTTACAATTTTAGCTCTGATTTATTTAACTCCAGTTTAATACTTCATAAGTTAATAAGCACTTTTACAAAAAAAAAAAAAAAAAAACATAAGTTGTTTTAAATAAGCAATCCCAAACACCCCCTAAAAGAAGAATCTTGTTTGGCAAAAAAAAAGTTTGTCTCTTAATGATTCTAAAATTACCTGAATGATTTTGCATCTTGGGCCTCTATTAAACATTCAACGTTTTAATTTAATTGTAAACAATTATATTTCATTTTGCACTATATCATGAGTGCTTCTTAATCATTCTGACCAATTAATCATTCTGCACCAAATCATTCAACAATTATTAAACAACCCCTAAGTCATTTTCAGATATTAGACATTCCATACGATTTCTTTAAAATAGAGAAATTAAGAAAATGAGGATGTTTTCAGTTAATATTTAATCCAATAGCTTCTCTAAAACTATGTTCAATATAGCAAAAATAGAAAAGAGAAAACTAATATTTTAATAGATAAATAAAATATTTTAATATTATAATTATTAAGAAATCTGTTGAAAAAAAATATTAATTTTGTAAACATTTTAAAATTATTAAAAAAATATGGTAGAGATATTGTTACATATTTATTAATTATAATATTATTTCTCTCCAAAAATGTGATGCATGATAAATCAATCTCTTTCCATCCCATTTGAATCATACTAAAAAAATTACTAATATATCTTCATTTGATATAATCTTTATTTGGTATAATCTTAATATGATATTTGTTTTAATGGTCATCATTGTCATTAGCGTTGCCACCACCACCACTAGCGGCCACAAGCTGCCTTAATTTACCACAATGACCTCCTCCACCATAATCAACACTTATACCTTCATCATGTCGACCACAACTACCTCCACCACCACCATCACTGTCCACCATCTTCACATCCTTTACCGTCACTACCCTCCACAGGTTTATAAGAATCTTCCAAATCGATTAAAACATATAAAAAAAAATACGAATCCGGTATTTTTGAACTACCATCGATTATATAAAAAAATATTCAAATTTGGTAATATTATATATGAATATATGTGAAAATTGTGTTCAAATGTTTATAAATTAATTATTAAAATATTTACTTGATTCATTTCATTTATAACTATTCGTATTAAACATCAGACAACTTGTCATGTCATGTTCAGTCCTTATTTCTAGTTCTGTCCAGTTCTATCATGTTTTATCCTGTCCATTCATGCATGCTTGTCGAGTCTATTCATGTTTGCATACAAAACGCTACCTTAACATACAACAAGATCAGTTTTATAAAACGTCAAATAGGTCTTATAAAATGTACTTATCGGGGTTGGTGACAGGTATTCTCGTTCAAACTTCGCGGAGCGTATAACATGATGGCAAAACTCCCAAAGGAACAACTCGCAAATGGTGTCATCTGCTCCTCTGCTGGCAATCATGCTCAAGGGGTTGCGTTAGCGGCCAAGAAATTAGATTGCCATGCCGTTATCGTTATGCCAGTTACTACGCCAAGGATTAAGGTTTAATTAGTTAACCTTAATTAATCAATTCTACATGTCTAATTGTTAATTACTAATTCATTGTTAATGTGTTTAAATTTGTATTAGTGGGAGTCAGTGAAGAGATTGGGTGCGATGGTTGTTCTTGAAGGGGACTCGTACGATGAAGCACAAGCCTATGCGAAAACCCGAGGTGTGAAAGAGAACCGAACCTTCATTCCTCCATTTGATCATCCACACGTAATCGCGGGTCAAGGAACCATCGGAATGGAGATTGTACGCCAATTACAAGCTCCGATCCATGCCATATTTGTGCCTGTGGGTGGTGGTGGTCTCATAGCTGGTATTGCTGCCTATGTCAAGAGGGTTTCACCACAGGTACTCATTAGCTTTCACTTGCAATCTACATTACCCAACATAAAATTTTCATGTCGTAAGAGGAGATCTTCACCCTTGAATGCACATTAGGATGAGATGTACCCAGATGCACCGGATCAATTCCTGTATCAAGTGATATTTATGAGTGGGTTTGAGATTAAAGATGATCAAGGGTCCAGATCTTTCTTACGTTTTTCATGTTAACTCTCTTTCTCATACGATCATTCGTCAATGTCTATATATCTATATATACATACGGGCTTAATCATTTGAGAACTATATATATTATGATAATCGTGAGAACTATTATCTTAATATATTTTTTCAATATTTTTTCTCATCTAAGGCTAACATTTAATGCATTGGCGAACATATATTTGTTTCACAAATCACAAGGTGTTCGGTTCATATATATATATATATATAGAGAGAGAGAGAGAGAGAGAGATGGGTTATTATACAACCATTTATATTTGTACAACCAATACAACTTAATCTCAACCGTCCATTTAATTTGATGAATATATAATTTCATAAAAGTTTTGAATGTTTCATAATATAAAGTATTGATCATAATTAATAAACCTTATTCATCTTCCATAAATATTTAAATCATAATAAATGAACTCTTATCATTTCCATAAATATTTCAATTCATTGGATTATATTGGTTGTACAAATGTGATGGGTTGTATTTGAAAAAAACTCTCTCTCTCTCTCTCTCTCTCTCTCTCTCTCTATATATATATATATATATATATGCAGTTCACAATGTGAAACTTTTTACGTGTAACTTTTGTTTTACAAATAAACTAAAAAGGTTCACATTGTGAAACAAATACATAAATATATACAAGAAGGATCATGCGAAATATTAAACATTTTACGATAAAGCGATAAGTTGTAATATCATATATGATTGCACCCCTTTAATTGGGTATGTTTAACCATATATAATTAAGCATCTGTGTGTTTTCAATGCAACATATATATGTTTAATCATATATTATTAGACTTGTGTATCATGCACATAATGATATATGATACTGAAACTTCCCATCTTCTTGCAAATTAAACATTGAACTTCTTGTTTGAACCTATCCCAACATATATATATATATATATATATATATATATATATATATATAGAGAGAGAGAGAGAGAGAGGAGCGATCAAATGAAAACCACTCCAATTTTTAAAAACCGTAAAAACTACTCTCATCCATCATTAATCTTATGAAATTTTTTCATGAAATTGTTAATCTTGTGAAATTATTTTTTTGATAAAGTTGTTTCATATGTGGTTATGAAATTGTTTCATATACTACTTAATGAAATTTTAATGAAACTGTTTCATGTATTTCTCTAAAATTAAAATAATGAAGATGATAATATCCATGATATTATTAACACCCTCCACAATAAAAATGGTTAATCAACCTCTCATAATTAAAAAAAAATGAACAAAATGAAAAATTATGATTGATTGAATGAGGTTTTTACGGTTTTTATAAATTGAGTGGTTTTTATTTGAACCTATCCCAACATATATATATATATATATATATATATATATATATATATAAAGAAATTTAAAAGGGATCTACATATTCTAACCGTAGGTACGGATCATCGGAGTAGAGCCAGCCGATGCAAATGCAATGGCTTTGTCATTGCATCATGGCCAACGAGTAATGCTTGACCAAGTGGGGCGTTTTGCCGACGGTGTTGCCGTGAAGGAGGTTGGTGTCGAAACGTTCCGTCTATGCAGGGAGTTGATCGATGGTGTAGTTCTTGTCAGCCGTGATGCAATCTGCGCATCCATAAAAGTAAGCCTTGTTAATATCTTAACCGTACAGATACACTACAACAAAAATGAGTTCAATTTTGAGGGCATCTATCCATACGTCTTAATAAAATAAGACCAACAAATGTAGAATAAGTTGTTTGATGATGGTGAAGGATATGTTTGAAGAGAAAAGAAGCATCTTGGAACCAGCAGGTGCTCTTGCTCTTGCTGGTGCAGAAGCTTACTGCAATTACTATAAGCTTAAGGATGCCAATGTCGTAGTCATAACCAGTGGAGCAAACATGAACTTTGAAAGACTCAGATTGGTAACTGAACTTGCAAACATCGGACGGCAGAAAGAGGCGGTGCTGACCACTTTCATGCCGGAGCAACCTGGAACCATCAAACTGTTCTGCAAACTTGTAACCATTTCTTTTTCCTCCTTTTTTTTTGAGTTCGTTATTATATTAACAGGACTGACGATGAATGATCTGTGGGCAGGTTGGACCGATGAATATCACTGAGTTCAAGTATAGATGCAATTCTGACAGAAAACAAGCTCTGGTTTTGTACAGGCAAGAAACCCTAATTCAAACCCTGCTTTTTAGTATAATATATTTATATAAAACCGATTTTGTTGTAATGAATTTGATGTAACGCTTGTTTAATTAAATGGGTGGTGATATATGATGAAGTGCAGTGTTGGCATTCATACGAAGCTTGAACTTGAAGCCATGATGGAGAGGATGAAATCGTATCAACTCGAAACAATTGAATTCACAAACAATGATATGGTGAAAGATCATTTGCGGCATTTGGTAACTTATTATATTCATAATGAATAAGAGATTCTTTTTTTCCATATTCATGTGTTGTTTTTAGTAGTTAAATCATTGTGAATATATATATATGTATATATATTGTATATGTTGTGCAGATGGGTGGTCGATCAAACGTTGAAAATGAGCTTCTTTGTCGATTCATCTTTCCTGAGAGGCCTGGTGCTTTGCTCAAATTCTTGGACACATTTAGTCCACGATGGAACATTAGCTTGTTTCATTATCGTGCACAGGTTAATTAAGTACCTTACTATCACTAAATGCAGCTTTATATATATATATATATATATATATATATATATATATATAGGGTTGAGTTTACGTGAGACCTGCTAGTTTTCGTGAGACCATTTTTTTATACTCGAAACTTTACAGCAAAAACACTATGAAGATTATCATCACAACATTTTATTGTGAAGTTTTAAGTGTAAAAAAATGATCTTGCGGATCTCACGAGAACCGGTTGGTCTCACATGATCTCAAGTCTCTCTTTCTCTCTCTCTCTCTCTCTCTCTATATATATATATATATATATAATTAAATTCATACGAGAACAATATCTATATAAAGGAATAATTAGAATGTGGTCGAATCATTTGTATTTTACACTAAAATCATGTGAAAAATCACATTTGATTCTAAAGTCGCGAACTCAAGGCCACATCATCTACACACCTTTGCCTTGCATTAATTGTTTATGTAAAATCACTTGTGATTTTGTATGTAATTTGACCATGTTCGTGTTTTCTTATTTGATTATTTTTCTCGTTTAAAATTTCTCTCTCTCTCTATATATATATATAGGGGTAGAATTGGAAATTCAATTTATCTGTATTATCTATTTTTGAAAGTTAACACTTATATTATAACAAATTTAAATAGAAATGTGGATTATATGGATAATCTTTTTGATCTTACTCAAGATTCTAACACCTGGTTTCGATGTTTAAAGGGAGAAATGGGTGCAAATGTATTGGTCGGGATTCAAGTTTTGCCGGCCGAAATGAACGAGTTCCGATGTTCCGCCAATGATCTTGGATACAACTACGAAATCGAATGCGACAACGAAGGATTTCAGCTTTTAATGCGTTGACGACTCTCAAATATCGGTGACCAGAAGCACCAACCAATGGATCGAACTTCCCATGTTCTGCGGTTGTAGCTTGAGATGGGGTGATTCCAAATAACCATCAAACATGATGTAGAAATAGAGAGAGAGAGGGGAGACATCAAATACAAACCGTTTCCTTTTGAATAAACCTTATAAATCAATCTCATCCATCTATTTTCATGATCAAAGGTCATTATTAAAAGAAGTTATTTTAGTAAAGTAAAAAAATAAAAATATATTATTATTTTATCCAAGAAAAGGTAAAACTGGAAAAAGTTTTAAAAGTTTCAACCCACTGAAATATCATTTCCCCGTACTTAATCCTATTTTCTCGTATTAATCGCATTAAAAGTTTCAACTCATTGAAATCTCAAGATGAAACGATACGATTTTATACAACTTACAACTATCTCAACCAAATTATTTGTATAAATTGCTAAAAGGAGAGAACAAAATCATGGATATCAACAAATCAGAGCTTTAAAATCTATATATATGATTTTATTATTATAATGGTTTTAACCAAAAATGTCAGAAAAATATGAGAAATCATATATTCAACAAAAAAATTCTTTATTTTATGAGTAAATATTATAATTAAATAAATTTCACATTAAAAATAGAGTTACCTAAAAACTTCAAAATTAAATAATGAAACATAAAAATATTATTTAATCAACAATAAAGAATGAAACATTTTGAAAGCTGAATAATATGATTTCATTAGTGAAATTGGTTTCATGAATGAAAAATTTTGAAAACTGAATAATATGATTTCATTTATGAAATTGGTTTAATGGTTTCTAATCAAAATGAAATTTGATTTATTAATAAAACTAGATATGGTTCAGTCAATAGAATATTTTTAAAAAAAAATTGAATAACATTATTTCATTAGTAAAATTGGTTTCATGAATGAAATATTTTAAAAACTAGACAACATGATTCGTTAGTGAAATTGATTTTATGTTTCCTAACCAAAATGAAATTAGTTTCATTATTTGTAACCAATGAGCCTCAAGTTGTCTTTGTCATTGCATCATGGCAAAAAGGTCATGCTTGACCAAGTGGGAGGTGTTGCCGTGAAGGAGGTTGGTGTCAAAACCTTCCGTCTATGCACGGAGTTAATTGACGGAGTAGTTCTTGTCTGCCATGATGCCATCTGCGCATCCATAAAAGTGAGTACCACCCTTAATCCTATGCCCATATACATACTCGAGTCTCACGTCAGTTAGACACAAACCATCAAACATATATATACATACATACATATATATATATATATATATACACACACACACAAAGCGGTTACGCTTGGTTTGCATGCATTCTACTCGTATGAAATCCTTTCGGGTTGATAATATAGTCTTGCCCTTGCTGGTGCAGAAGCTTACTGCCTTTACTATAACCTCAAGAACACCAATGTCGTAGCCATAACCAGTGGGGCAAACATGAACTTTGATAGATTGCGATTGATAACAGAGCTAGCAATCGTTGGTAGGCGACAAGAAACCGAACGTACTACTTTGATCTCAAGCTAGCCATGAAGCATTAAACAGTTCTGCATACCTTTTACGGATCAAGACATAATGCAAGTCAATAAAATCAGTTTTGTAGGACAAGAAGTATTTCTATATGTCTAATAGGCTGCTTTATAACACTTAATTTTATAGAACTAAACAATTGTACCCTATGTAAACGTGTTACAATATGATGTAATGACATACTCGGGCATCCTAACAAGGTTTTTAGAACACTTTTAAACCTATGCATACCTTAGGGCCTGTTTGTTAGCAGCTTAATAAGCTTAATGGGACTCGGCTAATTCGGACAGTTATATATGATTCTATGGTAGAGGCTTAATGATATAGAAAGTGGCTTATTCAGTAAGCTTCTAAGGGGGGGCTTTAAGCAGAAAGCCAAGATTTTTCCAACCCGCCCATGCCAATAAAAAGACACGCTTCTTCCATACATGAAAAAACCCCATCAAACAAAAATTTTCTCAATCTATACAGACAGATTAATCTACACATATACAGGACTTAATGAAAAACCAACCAAACAGCCCCTTAGTCTAGCAAGGATTTTGTCACCCTAACATTCGACACATAGGTGCATGAAAAATGGTTGTTCCGGTAAATATCTATATACATATCTTTACTGATATTACAATGAGTAGAACATTGTTTTCAAAAATACGTAAGGCGAAGAAGCATTCGAATGCATAAAATTGAATCAAAGAATACTCAACTTGCAAGCTTAAAAGCATCAATGAATAGACCATAAGTGAAGCCCATCTTGAAATTATTCAGGAGAGCAATTGGAAATGTCACCTTAGGTCTGCTGTAATAGAATCTGGTTACGTACTCGGTAAGCAGAACGCAAACAACGGCAGCTATAACGTCGTTCACGCCTAAAGCTCCAAAGGAAAGTGATATCGTTTGTGCAACATAAAATCCACCGAGGAGAGAAATACCACCAAAAAGCGCTCTTCGAGAAGGGCTTTTGAAGTAGTTCCTTGAAATATCCGGCACAAGGCGAATGATGTCGATTAGTCGCCTACGCCCTCCTTCGCTGTCTTGCACGGCTTTGATCTTGGAGAATTTAAGTGACGATGATCTTGAAGCAAAACCGGATTGTTTTGTTCTTGGATTAGAGTTGAATCTGATAAGATCTATGGAAGTAAGGCTCGGACAGATTGCCATTTTAGCTCAAATGGATTTTCTGAAAGAAAAGAAAGAAACAGAATTGGTTACCGTTGTTCTTCAGCATTCGAAAACGAATAAACGACATACTACAACCAAAATTAACGAGTTGTTTTATTTGGTTTTTTTCTTATAATAAAGCAGTCTGTTTTGATTAAATTGCCTGTATGGATTGAGAAAGTTTTCGTGTGGAAGGGTTTTTTCATAGATGGAATACGCATTGTTTTTAAATGTGGGGGACAGTTTTGGGAAATACATGGCTTTCTGCATTAAGCCCCCATATAAGCTTATTGAAGAAGCCGCTTTCTATATTATTAAGCCACTCTAACAAACTGGCCCGAAGAAAAGAAACACAAATGAAACCCTAATAACGCGAATCAAGATTCACACTCAAGGCCTGTTTGTTTGCAGCTTAATGAGCTTAATGGGACTAACAGCTTATCCGGTCAGCTACCCGTTCACAGTTTAGTAGTGGCTTAATGATATAAAAAGTGGCGTATTAATTAAGCTTCTAGGAAGCCGCTTTCTCAAGTTCTATCCACACTTGTCGCACCCCAATTAAAAATCACCCTCCTTCCATCTATGAAAAATTATGCCAAACAAAAACTTTCTGATTTCTACCGACGAATTAATCGACGCAAACCTCCTTGATGGAAAACCAACCAAACAATCCCTCAAGTTGGGCATACAAAAGTATAGAAATACATCTGACCATATAATCAACTAACTGTTTACATCAATTATATACTCCAAAGCCGAATGAGCTATGTTGATTATTTGATACCCACAAAACAAAAGGCACAGTTGCATAAAGCAGTAAATAGTTCTAAATTGACGCTCCCCTTCCGAGATTTGGATATTAGAAACCCCCCAAATTCCCCCAACAAAAACAACAGATTCTATCAAACCCACTCAATCAATTTACACAATTAACTCATACAAATATGATACTGTAACAAATATATGATGTCTATACAATCCCCAGTCAATATTTTGTGAATCAAATTTCAGTCAATGTAACGGTAAAGAGAAAGGTCAAACCTAATTGCAGCGTTGGTGTATCCGGGGTGGAAAATCAACACAGGAAGATTGCAGACAGGGCCGATAGCAGCCAAAAGGAGTGGTCGGAGCTCGGAAAAACGGCCGCAGTGGCGGTCGTCAGCAGGCGGAGATCCGTGTGGCTTCGATTTCAGCAGCGTGACTCTGCGGGAGTAACGTGAGGGAAGAACTCAGCGTGTGGGCCGAATCCTAATTGTAATATCTTTTGGGTTTTTTAAAGTGGGCCTACAAAGCCTAGCCCAATGATGGCTTTATCTATGCTACATTTAATAAGCATTTAAAACATTCTTAAATACAAATTTTAATGCATTGAATACATACTTTTAAAGCACAAAATAAAAAAATCTTTTAATTACAAGGTTGTATGCATGATGTACAACTTAATAATATACTGATTTTTCACCACAGCCAAAAATGGAGTCCTAGACTCCCTTTTCTTCTACAACAGTCTCGATAGCTCCCATTTGGTATAAGCTTTCTTTTATCTTCTCCCTATAAATCTTTATTTTCTTTTCTTCAACATCCATTTTTACATATAAATATTCACTGAAACACAATATACAAGAATTGTATGCATGTTTTGAATTCTTTAAAAGCTTTTGACTTTTTTTTGTCTTCACAAGAGACTAAATTTTTTGGTTGCTTTCACCTTTTTACCCCCAATACCATTTACCTTCCTCTTTTATTTTTTGTTTGAATTTCAAAATTAAAATGAAAGAACTAGTTTGTCATTATTTTATAGTTTCCTGATGATTCTTGTCCATTTTAATTTTGCTTACCCGGTGCATTGCATGGGTACACTTCTAATAAAATAATAGTGGTTTGATGTTTTAAGAACTTGGGTCTCTTTGGTTGTAATTTTTATAACAAAATAGTTTTCCTAAATAATTTAAAGCTCCATTTTTTAATTCGTATAACTAACTACAAATAAACATAATCAAATATAAGATAAACATCTCATTTTTAAATATAAAAATTCTAAAATATAATTAAGAAAATCATTATCTTTATATAAAAATTATATTGTTAAGCCAAAAATAAATTATTTTGCTATTATACCTAAATTAAATTATAATAAAAACTTGAATTAAAGACCAAAAAAAGAAAAAAATTTAAATAGTTAATTTGATATTAATATCGATATATATTTTAAAAAATTTAAGATATTTTTAAATTTATTCTTATTCAAAAGTAAACATATTATCTTAATCAAAACCACATAAATCGTATTATATATCAATAGAGACAGAAAATAAAACGATATGATATCTCGCTGTATTGCATAAATACTTTTTTTAGTATATAAAAATAGATTTAAACGATTGGTAAGAAGAGATATAATATTAGTTATATATGGTAATTCATGAATTACAATTAGAGTGTAGATTGGGCAGTAAAAGTAAGTCAACTTGTAGGAAAGTCAACATGCATTTATTCATCATTTACTGAATATGGATATTTAAATAGTGGCTAAAAACAAAGTCCTTCACAATCACAGATACGACGCCGTGTGCCTCACGAAGATCCGAGATCGCGTTTTTGCCACGCAACCGGGTCGGGTTTCGAATCCCAACGCCAATGCCTCGTGTACGCAGTACGTTCCCTTGGGTTGAGTTGGGTGCACACACACATGTATTTTTTTTGCTAATTCTTATTTAAATTCACGATAAAAAAATTCATTTAAAATATTAATATTTTAATTTCCTTATTTGAAACAATGCCTTTTTATTTTATTTTATTTTTTTCAAAAATATAAACAAACTTTAATTTTTGTCCCCTTTAGGCTTTAGGTGCGTTTGCTACATGTGGAGGGACAAGATAGGACGTACAAAACTTACTGTCTCATGCTTGGTGCAGCATGAGACAGAACAAGAACTCATTATCTCATGTTTGGCGCGACATGAGACAGGGATAAGAACTAGAATAAGATGGGACAACATTGAACATAAAACGTTTTTTCTTGTTTTATCAAAATTAGTGGAATAAGATAAGACAAAAATGAGACATAAACTAAAATATTAATAATCTACCCTAGTTTGATATATAACCTTAATATGATATTTGTTTTAATAGTTATCACCGCTAGTTTCGGCCACCGCCACCACCACCGCCACCGACGGTTATGTCCAGTCCTACCTTCTTGTCCTGTCATGTCCAGTTCTGTCATGTTCAGTCTTGTCTAATTATGTCATGTCCACTATGTCGAACTCTATAAATTATAGATAGTGGCATATCTAAAAATTTTGTTTGGCTTTAAGGTAGACTAAAGGTCCACAAAATTGATCGACGTATTTTTAACCTAATTACACCGTTTTTTAGTGGATTTTAAAGGTTTTTTGGTTGATTTCGGTGCATTTTTTTAGTGTGTTTAGAAAAAAAAATTAATAGGGTCCCATCCCCCCTCCCCCTAACTTACCTTGTAAGTCCGCTACTGATTATAGACACACGTAATGTTATTAGTATTTTCTAACAAGTCGGCATCGCACACATATACACCACTCAAACACAGCTACCTTACAACCTAAGGTACTTTGATCGTTGGTGTTGAGATTAACTTACATACACATTGACTAATCTAATGGAACCTTTAAGATAAAAAGCTAGGTAAATACACGATGATCTTATGAAGACTTGAACTAACGAGCTATGAGGAGGAAACTTGTGATTTGTATTTATGAGTCAGTTTAAGCTAGACCTTAAGGTTTACAAACAAATTTGACCTTGAGTAGCAATGATATTTATGTCTTGAGTAACCACAAGGGTGATAGCTGATTGTTTTGAATTTGAACTGTAAAAGTCAAAAGTGTCTGAATGAGGAATAAAGATTTCCGTATGACGACAAAGGTTCAAATGCAATGACTATGGATGAATGATCATTTTGAGATTAGTTGGCTCGCATAACGAGTTAGATATTCATATTAATAAAAAATATATATATATTTTAATAGTCGCCTAAAATAGTGTTTGTGTAAACGTTAAAGGTTGTTTCGGCTTTAACAGTTTCTTTTCTTTTATTTGGGATTTTTTTATTAAAAAAATAAAATAAAAATGGTTATTGGGGCAAATTTGCCAAACTCGCAACCTTTTAATAGAAAAAACCAAAATTTATCGACATAAGAGGTGGCAGGCAAATAGGAACACACCACAATGACTCATATGCTTCGTTCAACACTTCTCATTCTGAAATTACTAAACTACCCTTGTAATATAAATCTTTTATTAAAAATGTGATTTTCTTTTTTGTATTTTTGGGTTATTTGAGATTTTATTTTTTTTATGTATTTTAAATATTATAAAATTAATTATATTATTTCATATATTTAATATAATATTTTATTTTCAAAAAGTTTATTATAGATGTTGATAACCGATAACCATTTTTTAGTTTATAATCTTGACAAATACTAATTCACAATAAATCTTTTTTATCATTCGGTCATTTATGTACATGTGTATGTATATGCATATGTGTATGTATCTCTACCCGTGTTTATGCACACATATACCGTATATGTATGTATATGTGCATGACTGGCTTAAGAGTCATTTAGGCAAGACACTTATACAGTAGATCAAACATTATCGTTTACTTTATCAGTTAAGATTCAATCCATCAAAATGACATATGCAATAATTCACCTGGTAAATAAATGCTAACCGGGTTGAAGTCATAGCCCTCACTTCTCGGATAAAACTTTCGGACCTTGTCATCACTCTTACCGAATAAGATTTTTGGTTATTGTCATACAAAATTTCATCTGCTAAGATAATCTAACTTGATAACCGCTAGTTGGGTAACCGTTTGGCATACGGACCCTTGGGTGGCGTTTGGTTCGCATAATGTTTTTGCATTTAATGGAATCTGACAAAGAATTTGATTTTGAAGGAACTGAAATTGAATTTTGTCAGTTTTGACCATCTGTTTGGTTGCCATACATAAAATGGAATCTGTTTGTTTGGTTCACAAAATGTAGCTTTTCAAATTAGAATGAAATATTGGTAAATGACCAAAATGCTCTGTTTTGAAAATTTTAAATTTTTTAAAACTAAAAGTACTTTAATATAATAATAATTTAATGTGTAAAACAATATAAAATGCATAACTCAAATATAGCCATAAACCAAATGACGTTACTAAATCGATATTAAAATTGTCTCAAAATGATTGTGGTTCAGATCAGTAGTTGTTGGTGGTGGTTCAGATCGGTAGTGGTCAATAGTGGTTCAGATAGGTGGTGGTCCGCAATGGTTTAGGTAATGGTTCAAATCGTTAGCGGTCCATAGTGGTTCAGATCGATGGTGGTTTAGGTGGCGGTGGTCGACGGTGGTTTAGGTGGCGGTGGTCGACGGTGGTTCAGGTCAGGGGTGGTTCAGATCGGGTGGTCAACAGTGGTTCAGATCAGTGGTGGTCGGAGGTGGTTCAGATCAGTGGTGGTCAATTGTGGTTCAAATCAATGGTGGTCCACAGTGGTTCAGAAGGTGAAGATCGACAATGGTTTAGATCGGCGATGGTCGAGGGTGGTTCAGATAAGTGGTGGTCGACGATGGTTTAGATCGTCGGTAACCGGCGGTGATTCAGATAAGTGGTAGTCGTCGATGGTCAGAGTGGTTCAGATCAGTGGTGGTCCGTGGTGGTTCAGATGGCGGTGGTCAACAGTAGTTCAAGTCGGTGGTGGTCCACGTTGCTTCGAATGGCGATGATCGACGGTGGTCAACAGTAGTTCAAGTCGATGGTGGTCCACGTCGCTCTGAATGGCGGTGATCGACGGTGGTTTAGATCGGCAGTGGTCGGTGGTGGTTCAAATTGGCAATGTCGTGGTGGTTCAGATCGGTGGTTGTTGTCGGTGGTCGACGTTGGTTTAGATCTGTGGTGGTTGGCGGTGGTTCAGATGACAGTGGTCAGCGATGATTCATATCTACGGTGTTTGACGATGGTCATATTGGGATTTATGAGATTAGAGTATATTAGTTTAAGGCCATATTTGGTATCATGAAAATATAGAATTTCATTGCATCAAATACGATGTAGTTGCTAAGAAATTTTAAATTTCTTTATATCTGGAATTTATAGAACTTTAAATACTCTTTTCATGAAAAAAAAAACCAAACGAGGGAATGAAATTTGATCAATAAAATTCAACATTCCAGT